TCGGAGAGTCCTCTTTCTTAAGTGTCTACTTGTCCTGTCATGGTCTCCTTGACGTTTTCAATGTCCTGAATCATGGTCATTTTGACTTTAGGGAAGAACCAATGTAGCAGGTACCAGATCCAGTGTTCAAGAGGGACGAGGACTCATTGTCGTATTTTCATTTGACAGGAACTGATGATGGGATAAGTGTGTCTATGATCAGGGAGATTATTTTGAGAGAGATTGGTGGTAACGTGTCTTTCACTACGATAACCTAAAAATTTAATATTTTTGGTATTGTTTGATTATGCTATATCTCTAAATGTTATTTGGGGATTTTACTCTTGTTGTTTTAGGTATTAATTAGATCATGATTTCTTATTACCTAAATGAATGATAATAGTATTGTTTCACTATTGTCCATTCTTTCAATAGTTATATCATAATTTTGATTAGGTCAATATTCAATTTTTGTTTTTCTAAAACTACGGTTCTTTAAATTCAGTAATGGCTATTTTCTTCTTCTTTATTTTTTAATGTATTTAGTACAGGGTCTACAGGCCTCACTACACACATCAGATTCATAGTGATCTTGTTTTCAACCTCCTGAGCACTGGGATTACAGGAGTGCCCCACCACACCCAGTCTCATTTGCCTCTCACTGTGCCTGGAGGGTGGAGCTGACACAGCACACCAGGGATCAAACCCCTGACCCCTGCATCTGCCTAAGCAGGTGCTTTGATCTGCTGAGCTATCTGGCCGGTCTAGTAATGGTTATTTTTTTTTCCTAGAACATTACCACTCTTTTAATTTCTAAATTTAATATTTATTGTGGTCTTTCCCTTTGGCTACATTTCTAAGACTGATCTTAAGCTCAATTCTCAAACTCTTTCACAATAATGGAAATCTCAATATATTCATTAGATATTTTATTTATTCATTTACTTATTTATTTTGAAGAAATGTGTCCTGGGGGCTATGGCTTGCTTCCCTCTGGGATGGCTGCTCTTTCTGGTAAGCACACAGCTACCAGATCTGTATCTAAAGAAGTTGCCATGTCCATCTCCAGTTTTATGGATCCTATTTTCCTAAGTGGATGTCTTCCTCTTCCCTGTTTTACTTGTTAGTTATAGTGGATCCCTTTCTTGAAGAGTTTTCTGGGAAAGGTAGATGAAAAAATACATTTTTCTTTTTTGAGATTTTGCCCATGTGAAAATATTTTAATGCTATTTACATAGTTGACTTGGGAACAGAATAGAAAACTGGAAATAATTTTGCTTTAGCAACTTGAAGATATCAATTATCTGGCATCAAATGTTGTTGCTGTGAAACTTTAAGATTCTTTGCTCTGGCTCCGTGTGGTGGTGAATGTTATACCCTGTCAAAATTGACTCAAAATTGACTCCATTTTGTTGCCCTTCTAACCTCGCCGAGTATGCGCCGACCCTTCCCAATTCCTCACCCCTATAACTCAAGTCTTATGATATCTGTTCCCTAAACCTTATCTCAATGAACTATTCCTCCCAATTCCTCACCCCTGTGACTCAAGTCTTATGATAGCTGTTTTCCAAAACCTTATCTCAGTGAACTATATATTACTGCCAACTCAGCACCTCCGCCAAACAGGACCACCTCATGAACTAATGATCCTGCCACTTCTTCCTCTCCACCCCTTCCCTGTTTTTGCAGTTTTCAAGCTTAAATACTGATCCTTGTCAATGCTTGGCACACACTTAGGCACTTTGAGCCGGGTGTTGCCGCTGGGTACCAGCTAAAATAAAGCGCTTCTTTTAACTTTTGGACTTGCCTTGTTGTCATCTGATTTTTGAGCTACAACAGTGAGTACCTGTAATCCCAGCACTCAGGATGCTGAGGCAGGAGGGTGGGTGTCAACAAATTCAGACCAGCCCAGGCTACATAGAGAGTTCAAAGCCAGTTTGCACACATAGTGAGACCCTGTCTCAAAAAACAAAACAAAATAAGAGATTTTTGACCTTTTATATGGAACTTGTTTTTTCCCTGCAGAAGAGTTGGCGCGTTCTTTTTTGGCTCAATGTTCTAAGAGGTCTCACTGATATGAGTTTTATGACTAGTTAATAGCTGCTAGTTCTATGGAATTTTCTTCAATGTACTGGTTTAAAGATTCTTTCCATTTTATTCTTCAGAGTCTTTATTACTAGCGAATTGCTTTTTTCAATGCTGGTGGTAGAATCTCTAATGGTTGATCCCTGTGTCAACTAGAAGTCTAGAAATTTAACTAAGCAGCTCACCAGGGGGCAAGTGTCCTCACTGTAAACATCCTGAGCCTGTGCAAGAGGAGGGCACCAAGATGTGTGAGTTGGGGGTGGCCTGCCTACAATATAAGGGAGGAAAAAGAGGCTTGCTCTTCCCTCTTTTGCTCTTGCTGCCTTTCCAGTTTTCTGAAGTTGAACTGTTGCCCCTCACCCTGCCACCCTGCCTTGGAGCCAGCTGATTATGGGCTAAAACCTTCATAAACTGTGAGCTTAATAAATCTATTCTTCCTTAATTTTGGGTGTCAGGTATTTTGTCTCAGCAGCAAGACAAAAATAAGCAAGACAGAAACTAAGCCCTTGCACATGCTAGGCAAGCACTCTACCACTAAGTCAAATCTCCCCTTCCAGAATACTTTTATTGCTGCTATATGCAGGGACTTAAAAATCTTTGGGCTGGGAATCTTTAGCCTAAAGTGAGCAAGTTCATCTAGAATGAAAAGGGTTCGAAAATATAAAGATTGTTGTACAGAATCCTCCAAACACAGCTCCTCCAACTCTAGTTGACCAGCATTTCTGGTAACTACAAATCAGAAAAGAGGGAGATGTGGGGAGCAGCTGAAGCTGGAGATTGATCACAGTGCAGCTGAGCAAGGTGAGCCTTAGCAACAGAGAGTGCTTGAGGCAAGTCACACAAATAAGCTATTATGGGGCGGTGTTTCATGGGACATTGCACCTCCAAAGTATGTAGCCATTGGGATCCTCCCTGCTTCTCCTTCTCCTCCTCCTTTCTTCCTTCTACTCCCATCAGTAGAGAGGACTTTTACCTGGTCTCAGTTTTCTGTATTCTGATTCTTGTTTTCTTCTTTATCTTCTCATTGTCCTCACCCTGGAAACTTAAGAGAGCTGCACGAGAAGTGGCAAATATTAAAATAATTCATACAATGTGTTTAGAAAAATTTCTGAAACATAGTAGATGATTTTTAAAGGTATTAAAAGAACCCATTTATATAAAAGGCTGTGTGGTAGCAACTTATATATGCTAAAAACAAAAACTAAACAAAAGCTAATAAAGTAATATGGGCCCATACATCAGACAAACAATAATCAATATAAACTGGCATAGAAATATATTTTCAAAAGTTTAAAATGATAAGCAACAGTAGATAAAAAGATTTTTACACAAGGGTATTCTATGAAGACATCATGTTCATTAAAGCATTGTGAAACTGGACAAGTAAAATGTTTCATATTCACGTAATAAAATATAACTAAATTAAAAAGATCATGATTATAACTCAGAGTTCAGTTGCAGAAGAGTAAAATTTAAAACTATTATTTGCCTACCAGGGAATAAACAAAAAATACACTTATGAACTCAAAGGATACATATCAAACGAACAAGAGCTGCTGGGAAATGGGGAAGAAAATGCCACTCCATTTTTAGTAATGTTTTATTTCTTTTATTTCATGATAAGCATGTGCAAATACATCAAACCAGTAGTACGTTCTAGAAAGTCATAGTGACTGTAATTGTTTTTGGAGTTTCCTTTCACTCATTGACAAAAACACATTCACATTTACTAATATGTTGTTTGTCTTTCAGTGGTGAAAAGTATAAATAATTAGGCCAGGCAGCTTGTTATTTCCTAACACCATTGTTTCATCTTTCTTCTTATTTTGTCTTTTGTTTTGATTTTGTAATAAGTCCAAATAATCTTTGGTTTATATTGTCATCAGATATTCTAGTATTTTCCTAATAATTAGTTGACAGAGTGATATAGTATGTTTTTATGGAATATTTTGATTGTTGTTTAACTATTAATCTCTTTACATTTTATATTTTAGGAGTCAAATTCATAAGTTACAGAATTACATATAGAATGTTCCCAAGACGTTTGACAAAGCCTTTCTCTCTAGAAACTTGGCTTTGTACAGGTTCTGGACTTTCGATATCTGCCTATCAACCAAAGGTTCTCTTTATTTTAAAACTGCTTTTCAGTTCCAAAAACGGTCTGAGAGGACATGTTAAAGAGAGAAAATTGTAGATTCCAAAATGACGTCTTATTAGAGCCAGTGAGATAGCTTACTGGACAAAGCGCCTGCTTTGTCAAGTGCAGCTTGCGGGTTTGATTCCCCAGTCCCCTGGGGCTCGTTGCGCCAAGTCCGGGCATGCGGGAGTGGTGGCGTACGCCTGTAGTCCCATTGCTGGGGAGGGAAAACAGATCTGTATAGTGAGACGCCCTACCAAATACACAAATGGACAAAAAAAAAAAAAAAAAAAAAAAGTTTTAATAAACAAATCATTATTTTGGGTTGTGAGATTCTGAGTAATTACTATGTCACGCTTTTTTTTTTGCTGCACTTTTCAAAAACTTCCATTAGGAAGATGTGACGAGAAAGAAACGAAAGATTTACTTCCAAGCGAAAGAATATACCATGGATGATTACATGCTAAGGAAACGAATTCTTTGGTTTTATTCTTTTCGAATAAACATTTCTTCCCAGGATATTTCACTAATCAATCATTAACTCATTCATTCTCTAAAACTCCCGCCACGCGCCAACAATCATATTGGCTTAAAGAGTAACCTAAACCTTGTTTCCCATAATTCCGGTCTCACTAGTTTCCCATAAATCCGAGGGCTTCAAACATCCGCCCAACAAGAGAGGAAGTTAGCCCGCCCCTCGCTCTTTATTGGTCCTTTACGATTGATTCCGCCTCACCCTCTAGGATTGCGGCTGTTGATTGGGTAAAACTGGAACTTCTTTTGACAGCTACCCCGGAGGCGTGGCTACAGACGCCCAAAACCTGTACACACGTTCCCACTGCACCATGTACCGAACGCTCCGGCCTCTCGCGCGCTTGCGTTGCCTCCTGCAGGATCCAGCCTCAGGGTCAACTCCAGGCGTGGGTGGCGCGGCAATCTTCCCACTCTGGTCTCACAGCGCCGCTCGAATGGTGAGCGCGGGCCGTGGGGTCCCGGCCTCCTCGCGGTGACCTTCAGCCTCGCTGCTCTCTGCGGGGACGTCCGCGGCCGGTGGGAGGGAGTCCCCTGGCTTCCTGGCCCAGCAGCGGCCGGGTGCCCACCGTGGCGCGCGGCCTCCCGGCCCCGGGCGCCCCTCGCTGCGCTGGAGAGGAGCCTGCCCCCGTTGGGGCGCACGGGGAGCTGGCGGGAGAGTCCTGCGGCCGGCGCCTGGCCTCTTCCGGAGCCCACACCACCGGACCGCTCCTGGGGCTTTGCGGGTGCCCGACTCGGCGCGCTTAGGGCTTCGCTCCTGTACCTGAGGAGGCTCCCATCGCCGGGGCGCTGCGGCGGGGACCGTGCGGGGGGCAGGGACGGTGGGAGCCCAGGGGCAGCCCTTGCTCTGCTCCGTAGCGAGGTCTGGCCGCCGCGTGCCGCTCTGGTGGCCCCTGAGCCGTGGCTTCCTGTACCCACACGATGCTTTCAGATGTCTCCAGGTGGAGTGGAAGGTAGAAGGGTGCTTTCAGGCCCCCCAGTGGGAACGCAGTAGATCTCTTAGATAAATATTTTTCTTCTTATGAGCTTGCCTGTTAGGCAGAATTTGTGGTTTCCCCCTGCAACTTTTGTTAAAAAAATTAAAAATGCGAAGCCTGTAAAATTGGAGATCCTGTTCCGATGCATATTTAAAGTGATGGAATAGGACCTAACTATAGCTGAATCACTACTTTACAGTCACAAAGACATCTAAGGAATCTAAACGTCCGGGTTCAAAGTGTAGTAAAAGTCCTTCTGCTCTTGAGAGTGTCACCTTCGATATTCAGTCTTGAGAAAATATCAAATCTGTGTTTATTTTTCAAAAACTTTGCGAAATGAATGAATACTTTAGGAAAAGTGCAGTTTTTCGTGTCCACTGAGGTTGTAGTATGTCTTTTGCAATCCAAGATGGTATTTCAAATCCTAGACTCTTGGGAGTTGAGAGTTTGGACAAATTGTCTTTGCACCTCAGTTTGCACGTGTAACATTGGAGTAATTATAGTTGGCAGGATTGCACACAGAATACCATGCTTTGAGTGCTTATTAAGTATGCTCCGTCTGGGTATTTCAAAAGGCCAAGATATTTTCTGGACTGTTCATTTTAAAATACTTCTATGCCATCATTAACGTAAATCTGCAAAGTCTAGGATACTTTGTATTCCTGGAATTTCTCACTGTAGTGATTTCTGGGCTTTGTAGAACCTTTAAACATTTTAAAATTTATTTTTCACTTGTTTAATGTGTGCTACAGGGGAACAGGAGACTGGAGAACTTCTGACTGTCTTGTTGGGGCAAATATAAAAAAATAGTATTGCCTTGCTCTGAGGGTTGTAATAATAGAACATAGATATGGATAATTTCTTTTTCATAGCCTAAACACATTTATTTCATCCTAATTTTCTCAGCTCCAAAATTTATTGATTTTGTTAAAAGTTCTTCTGTTGCTAGTGTTCAAAACTCTAGAAGCCTTAACCTTACCTTTTATTTAAAAGAGGACATAAAAATTCATTCAGTAGAGTGGTATATGTATTGAATGCCTTCTATATATTAGATCTTGTAAATAAGACAGTCTCTAAGCATGGAGCATAGAAACTTCTGGGGAAGATTAAGCAAAACAGTTAAATACAGAAGTTATATTAATATGCTGAGCTGTAAAAGGCTCAAGTCAATAACTTCTGACATTGCCAGTCCTACGGAATACCCATTACTATTATGGACTACTGGACTATGTTGGAATATTTTGCTGAATTCACACACCTACAATATTTAAATGACAATGGAATACCCATATCTGACAAAACTAAACAAAAAAGGGGATGCAAATGAAGGACCATTTTGTATCTGTATATTCAAAATAGGTAGGACAGATATACAGCTACTTTCTCTTAATTCAGTGAGAAGAAAGATTTGTACTGATAGTGTTTGGACAGGATATCATGTCTGTATCTTATACTATGAATAACCACTATGAAGACAACAATATGTAATGTATTATTGAAAGTGTCCTAATCGGTTTTGAAACTGCCTCATTGCTATTTGTTTCTCAATAAAATTATTTAAAAAAATAAAAAAAAGAAGTTACCCCTGAATAATGCAACACGATAAACACCACTGAAGTGCATTGAGAATGAATGTCTAACAGTAAGAATTCAGCCAGCTCTGAACTTGGTGTAATTGCGCTGTGGGTAAAGAAACCCTTGGAGCCAAGGAGATGGCTCAGTGGAATAAGCGCTTTCCTGGCACACTCAAGGGCCTGAGTTCAATCCCTGGTTCAGCAAGAAAAAAAAAAAAAAAGAAAGAAAGAAAGAAAAAAAGAAACCCTACATATTTTTAAAGGTCATCTTACTTTCCTTAATGATTTTCAGGATAGCCAGAAAGTTTGAAAAGATAAATAATCTTATTTGATATTGTAACATAATATTGATAAATTATTTATTGTTATTAATTTTTTTATGTATTTGGTACAGGGTCTCACTATGCAGCTCTGACTTATAGTGATCCTCCTGTTTTTAGCCTCCCCAGTGCTGGGTGGGGCGGGGCCCACACAGTATGAGGTACCTGGGATCAAACCCCAGTGCCTGTGCTTGCCTAAGCAGGCTCTTAGTCTGCTGAGCTGTCTCACTGGTCCCAAGCCATTTATTTTATATTTGCCTATTTTGAGGCTTGGTAATCACTCTCTATTTAGGACCAGATTGAATTTCATGTTTGTCTTTTGTTTTTGGTACCAGGAATTGAACTCAGGACCTTGTGCTTGTCAGGCAGGCACTTGTGCCACTGGGCTATATCCCCTGCCCCAAAACTGAGTTTCAGAAAGAACCTGAAAATTCAGAATATTTAAGTCAAATGTTGGAGTTTTACCTGTGAAGTCTTTTTGCATGAGAAATAATTAGGGTTATCTTGAACACCGAAATGTTGTTCTAAACCATATGATAGTGTTTGGACAGGCAATCTGATAAACATTTTATCTTGTCTTTGGAAACTACCATGGTTTAGTTGAGTGGTTATTTTATCCATACATTTGCGTGGGACATGTTCAGGCCCAAGGTTATATTTATTGACTGACCAGCTAGATAGAGAGAACAACTGGGCTGAAACTCTGGGCTGTCAGCTTCCAAAGCTGTTTAGTTTCACTTCAGCATCCCAAAATACTGGGATAGTGATTCTGGATGAGTTCATAGCGAGTCCGAGTTGGTTCCCTCTCCTGTAAGATAGCTGAGTTCCGTTTTTTTTTTTTTTTTGGCAGAACCGGGGATTGAACTCAGGCCCTTGTGCTTGCCAGGGAAGCGCTTATTCCACTGAGCCATCTTCCCGGCCCCTCTCTCCTGTAAGATAAAAGGAGTTGAAGTGCTGTTAGATTTCTCTCTACATGGATACCAATACACACCCATGTTTCTCTATTCTGCAAACCAAAAGCAGCTTAGGTTTTATACTGAAGATACACAAACAAAAACACTTTGCACTGCAATATTTGTTTCGGATATCCTAATCGATTTACTATTTGGGCAGTTTGCTGAGATTATTTCAGTGTTCACTGTTTCTTTTAGGTGGGGGTCATAATACAATCTCATGCTATTTATAAAGGTCGAATAAGGTCATACATGAAGATGGCTGCATAGCACTGTAAAAGCCAGGCTATGATTTGTTTTATTGTTGCTTTTTTTAATGATCTAGGCCAGTATTCTACCTAATTTTTGGCATGAGGAAAAGCATTATTGGTTATGTTTTATTTCTATCTTGATACAATGATATTTTTCTTTTCGTACAACCCAAAAGGATTTATGTCATAAAGAGTTTCATACCTCTAGTCTTAAGAGAAAACTAAGTATTAGAAATTTCTCATCTGTGAACTATTTACTAAAACAAAATTAGTTAGCTAGGAATTTTTTGTCTTTTAATCACGTTGTAATTTGTAGAATACAAGCTTTTTCCTGAAAAAGATTTGGAGGCTATCATTCTATGAGTAGCAGTTTGGCTTGCTTTCCTGACACTCCCAAAGGGCTCCGTAACCCTGAAAGGTGAAGAGCTCACCTAGTCGGTCTGCTCTGTCTGCACATTTACATTACGTCATAGTTGAGGACAGCTAACTGGCAGAAGATGACGCAGCTACCAAGTGGTAGTCTGTCTTGACCTCAAGGCCTAAATAATTTCTGTTGTACCACGCATCTCTCATTCTTAGTGTTTCAGACCATATCTGAATTTTGTTTAAATATATTTATAAATTTCAGAGTATTCTTAGATCATTTTCAAAAATTTCCAGTAAAATATTAACTTAAGTTTGAATTGGTCAAATTTTGACTTAAGAATAGGCACATTCTCGAAATGGGAAAGATGGCTATTATACTTCAGTGATGTCCTTTGTGCTCAATGTCTATGTAACTTATGAGTTCTACAGTCTGCCTTTTACACTAAATCTGAACGTTAAAAATTTCTCAAGGAAAGACCTAGATGTGGAGAATAGAGTGAAAGTTAAAATAGAATTTTTTGTATCTTTGAGACACTTATCAAGGCTTCTTTCCTCTTATAGCCAAAAAATCAATAAGGTGTTGTTTTTTTTTTAAGAGGTACATCTACTTATTTATTTTTATTTTTAAATTTTTTTCCGTAATTTTATTGAGAAGCAAGTAGCAATGAGACAGTTTCAAACCAAATTGGTAGGACAGCTTCAATAATTAACACCTTGCATATATTCTTCCTAGTGGTTAATTGCTGTACAAGATGCGGACATGATATCCTATTTACAAACACTATTACAACAAACCCCTCTATTTATTAAGAGAATGTAACTATATATCTATCCTAACCACTTTGAATACACAGATACAAAATGGACATTCATCTGTATCCCCTTTTTT